TAATACTCTCGGGCTTCATCGTACTTTTCTTGAGAATAGAAAATATGACCGATCTGATTAAGATTATCAGCGATATCAGCATAATTAGGTACACAGGAAGTTTCTAGAATTTGATGTGCTCGTCTTCGATAATCAAGAGCATCTTCATAGTTTTTTTGTTGCACAAACGTTTCGCTAATACATGTGAGTGTATTTACAATATTTTTATCATCGAATGGTTTATATTTTTCTCGATTTTCTAAAGATCGTTTATAGAAATCAATGGCCTTGTCATGTTCGTTTAGACTGGCTAGAACATTACCAATATCATGTAATCGATTAGCTATATGCTTGTGGTTCAATGGAGTGAGATTTTCATAAATCAATAAGGATCTTTGTTGATATTCAAGAGCTTCTTTGTCTTTATCTTGCCAATATAAAATGTGACCAATGTTACTTAAACATTGAGCAACCTGAAGTTGATGCGATGGATAAGGATTTTCAAGTTTGAGAAGTAGAGAATGAGCTTGTTGAAAGTATTCATTTGCTTCATCATACTTTTTTGTATCTTTGAGGACACAACCGATATTACTGAGGGCTTCAGCAATATCAACATGTCCTAAAGGATAGATTTTCTTTTTAATTTCTAAAGCTTTCTTATGATATTCTATAGATTCGTCGAATTTCTTTTGATAACTCATTAAATAGCCCATGTTAGTAAGTGTATTAGCAATGCTACAATGATCTGAATGATAATAATGTTTTTGAATGTCCAATGCTCTTTCATAGTAGCCAATGGCTTCGTTAAACTTCTCTTGATCACTTAAAATATTTCCAATATTGTTTAACGTATCAGAAATATGATTTTGACTGCATGGACAATATTTTTCGAATATTACTAAAGCTTCCTGATAAGATTCTATTGCTTCATCGTATTTTTCTTGTCGAGATAGTACATAACCTATGGATTGAAATGTAACAGCTATTGCAACATTACCAAAAGGATAATAACTTTGTTGTATGATCAAAGCTTGTCGATAATAACTTAAAGCTTCTTCATAATTAGTTTGATTACTTAGTGCATCTCCAATCCTATTCATTGTATATGCTATGTTCGCTTTATATGACGGATAATATTTTTCTTGCATAGAAAATGCCTGACGATGAAATTCAAGAGCATCGTCAATCTTTCCCAAATCATTAAAACTACCGCCAATATTATTCAGGAGACAACTAATATCTTTATGACCAAAAAATAAGTATTGTTTTAGTATTGCCAATGACTGTTCATAATATTCTAAAGCCAAATCATTGAATTCTTGAGCAGATTTAATAACACCAATACTACAGAGATGGTAAGCCTTCATTATATGATCTATTGGATATCGTGTCTTTTCCATGAGAACTGCTTGACGATGAATATCAAGAGCTTTATTGTAATTCTCTTGTCCACATAAAATGTACACCATACTATTAAGTACTAAGTCAAGACAAACATGTCCAGAAGAATAATATTTTTCATAGATCGCTAATGATTGTTGATGAAAATCAAGTGCTTTTTGGTTATTTCCTTGCTCAAAAAAACAGCGTCCGATAGAAAATAAACACTGAGCTATATCAATATGTAAACAATTGTAATAATTCTCGAAAGTGGTAAGAGAATCTTGATAATATTTCAACGCTTCTTCATACTTGTCTCGTTTATAATAAATATCACCTATATTACGTAGACTAGAAGCAATATGCACATGATCGGAAGAATAATATTCTTTTTGAATTTGTAACGCTCGTTGATAAAAATCCAAGGCTTCTTCATATTTTCCTTCTTCGAAAAGTATCTGTCCTATGCCAGAAAGCACTAGCGCTGAATTTTTGATATGTATTGATTTTGAATTTATCATTTGATCATAAGCTGAATCATAATATTTACGTGCTAAAATCCATTCAGCTTTTAAACGATGAATTTCACCAAGACTATATTCTATCCATGCTTGATTTTTAGTATTTCGGTTGGTTAATAAATGTTCAAAATATTTTTGTGATTGATCCCATTGACCCATATCCAACATAAGATGTCCGAATATAATATCATCTGTTAAATATTCTATTTGATTATGTGTATCATTCATATATTTTCTCAGAATATCTTTTCCTTTATTTGAAACGTTCATTTTAATAATAGAAATATTTTCATGATATTCAACTTTCTCTATTAGAAATAGAACATTTAAATTGAAAAGAATATCTTCTTGAGAAGAAAATTCATTTTGTTCATTTATATCAATTAAAATAATACTATTGTAAAAATCTTGTGGATACGATTCAATTTCTAAAATGACATCGACAAGATTCGTTTGTTTTGTTGATCTTTTAAGAAAATTTAATGCCTTTGAACGATGTCGAGTTCCTTTTAAAAATTCATGGAATAAAACAAGTTTTCCTTCATTGTTTTTAAATTCATCAAGTTGTTCTGTCGATAATTTTATACCTCGATAGACAATAAGTTTTTGTTTGTTTTGAATCGAATTTTGATGTTGCTTCTCAAAATTCTGAATAAGATCTTTCATAAAATATCTCAAACTGTTCAATTGATCGAAATCTTTGATTTGTAATGCTTTTTTAATCATTTTATACGGAAACGATTTTGTTAAATACCATTGAATGACTTCATTCGA